TCTCTACTCGGAACCTTGCTTTTATACTTGCTGAATCTCCCTCTTTTGTATGAAACCCCCTCTCGAAACACTCACAAATAGATAGATGTTTCGATCCCCGGACATGACTTCTCACTCCAAATCTGTAGAAACACCTTCTTAAGTATTTGTTCCCGGTAAGGACATTCATTGACTTGGACGTCGGAGAACCTTCGGAAAGAAAATCCTCTTTCAGTCTTTTCAGAGGTGCGATTGACTTTTTATGTAGTATTTGTAGAACCGCATAAAACGACTTCTCCGTTACCAGGATTCAAGTAGACTTTTGTCTCGAAACGATTCGTCACTCTTTTCCTCAGAAAACGAAATTCGAAAACACTGCTTTATTTCCCAAACAAATTACGCACTTCCATATGACATTCTGAAATTTACTAACAAACAGAAAAAGTATTAGTATCGTTCATGGAACACTGAACACGTGGTGCGCATGTGTGTATACAAACATTGTGTTGTATGGATAGATAAAGGTTAATGCGACGGCATTTATGACGGAGAAGGAGAGTAGGAACCGGCTTTTAAAAGCAAAAGGCAATTTGTAGTCTCTCTCTCTTTTTTTTGCATTTAATTAAATGTTTTTAATTCTCTCTTTTCTGCTTTTAATTAATTGTTTTTAATTCTCTCTTTTTAATCTTTTAAGGATTACAAAATTTTCATATGACAAAGTTTGGGGATCTTGTTAAAAGATCTCGTATCTTAGGAGTTAGGACAAGTTAAAGAGCTACTCAAGTTCAATATTTTGGGAAATTTTCATAAACTGTTCAATTTTTCTCGTGTTTTTTTCTCTCTCATATGAAGATTTGAACTCTTTTTTTTCTTTCCTCGGATCAGAATCTAATCTGTAAATTACAAATAATTATATAGTTTTCAAAACTATTCTGAGTTATTCATCTATATATAACTGCAAGAAAGTCAAGATTTTTCTTTACTTTTGTTTGTTGATTTTTGACCAAGACACTACTACACTAGTTCCTAGCAACTCGTATCATTTCTCACTCTTGTATAGTCTGAATATATACTAACTTAACATCAACTGATTTTGTTTGTTACCGTAAATCATTTTATGATGATTGGAGATGAAAGAACTACCAATTTCATTTATACTAATAAATTTAATATAGTATATATATTGAAAAACTAGTGGATGCAAAATAATTGTCAAAATTTACATTAAATAATGAAAACGATAACACAACACAAAGTGAAGTGTGACCATTTTGGGCTGCGCTTATCAGAAAGTTGCTCGGCTCAAGGTATATGACAGACTGGCAAAGTATTTTTGACTATATAGCGGACAAAACGCTGGAAAGGATCCATAGGTTTCTCATCCGCTATGTTTTTCAGCTTAGAATCAAAAACTATCTCGAATATGACCAGACTCATTGATGAACAGGTGCGGAATGGGCTATCATCCATCTGTGCTTTGGGTGACAAATTCTTCGATGAGTCACTCTAAGTGTGGTTTACAGTACACGATTAGAGGATGGAGAGAAATCACTTAGTTTCATGTTTCAACTCAAATTTCTAAAATTTGTTCAAAAGCTTAAATCTAATTACACCAGTTGTATAAACGTTTTCCTTTGAATTAGTTTGATATATAATTGAATAAAAAAAGAAGTATTACCATTATGCCTAACTTAGGGTGTGAACTTATGACACCACACAATTACAATTAGGATATTGAAAACTAGAATGTTAGAAAAAAAAATTGAAGTCTATTAAATTATATGATATTGTCACATGTGATCATCTTTTCTCTCTAATTTTCCCTAGAAATTGAGTTTTAAAACAAAACATAACAATCTCAAACGCACTATATATTCAAAAAAATATGGAGAACTCTTGATGCGAAAAAATAATGGACTAATCTGGGTAACGTAATTGTGTGGGTGGAGACCGGAGAGGAAAGGTTGGTCGTGGACTTTAATTACTACACGACGAAACCCAACTTTTTGTCCTTCATTTCACTTGGCCTTTTGTAATTGTGCAAAACAAAATTATTGTCACACACTTTCTTTTTGTTAGGAGAAATTTTTTTTTCTTTTTCTTTTCTGATAATGATATTTCTTATTGTGTAATTTTCAATCACAAGATTAGAGTTTGGAGGCTTGTTCATTGTTTCGATTGATTAAGGTCGTTTCGAACGATTCGAAAGTCATATATATTAAATGTATAGATATGTTTTTATTTTATAACACAACATAATTTCACACTGGGTCAACGAATAGTTTTGGATAAGAAGTCTAAGATAACTTTAGAATGTGAAAATCTGTATAAACGCACTAGTTGTTTGTCCTAGTAAAGTCAATAGACGACTATGTAGTTAATTGCATATAAAGTTGAACATAATGGAATATCGAGTTACAAAAAAAAAAAAGTTGAACATAATGGTGCATCGTCGTAGATTCGCGATGAACATTAACTTTGCAGTAAAAAAACTTTAAGGTGCAAAGTTTTATTAAAAAAAATATTTCTTTAATCATATATTTTAATATTTGTAAATAAGTATCTCATCTCAAAGAAAAAATAAAACCCCAAAAGTTATCTTAACAAACTAATACCATTTTTCCAATATTTTTTTAGTCACCAAACAATTAAGACAAATTAGACAATTATTTAAGTTGTCTTACATGAACGCAAATATGATTTAGAACTTTGTCAATTAGTAGGAAATGAATAATTCCTGTCTTATCTTGTGTGAGGAAAATGTAAAACAAACTTAAAAATTAAAACAGAAAGACAGTATTTACCCCCATTACCATTTTCTTTGGTTAAGTCTATACATTTTTACCCCCAAAAAAAGTCCATACATGCAAGCACAACAACTAAAAGTATATTACATTCTTAAACATTATATATTTACCCGAAGTCAATAAATTGTAATAACAATTACGAACTTTCGGATTTTTATCCTGAAATTGACGTAGGATAATAACCAGTCCAGATTTGGAAGAAGAAAAAGACAAGGTATGGACAAAACCAAACTTTTTGGGTCTGGTCCTCCAGATTCCTCATGTGCGGTTGTGTGCTTCTTGTCTTCTTTTTCTGACCAAATTATCTCTACTTTTTCATTTGCAATCACAAGATTAGAGTTTGGAGGCTTGTTCATTGTTCATTTGTATGGGTATATTTTCTTGTTGCTAAATGATTAATACATGTGTATCGTATCGGATTGGCGGAAAGCCTACTCCCAAATATTTCTTAGCAATTATTATTCGCAAGGCCTTAATTTTTGATAAGAAAATCATTGTATCCATTTATTTATTTCAATTGATAATCGTTCAGCCAAAAAAGTGATTTCTGATCATTTGGTATAAGTTTAGAATAGATCGATGGATAGTTAAATACATAGATTTGCTATGTGAGTTTATGTTTACATGTGGAGTAGGTGTCAGTTAAATGCTATAAACAGGGACGATTAGAAGAGATTAAGCATATAAAAACAATTAAAAAAATCATCTTAAGATAAAAAAGATAGCCGTTTGAGGGACTATTATTTTGAGGGTCTTTGAGCTTAGCGAGCAATTCCCACTAAACTTGAAGATGTTCTTTTGTTTTTTGTTCATCTATCGTAAATGAAGATGCTTCGTGTCTAAGCATGTGTTTGTGTCCGTCTATTACATTTTTTTTTCTACACTGATATATATATATATATATATATTATTTTTTATTGACAATCATCTGAAAAACTATTTATGTAAAAACGAAATAAAATGAAAATATGTTTATTTGTTATTTGTGTTTTGACTTTTCTTTTTTGATTATAAGAATCTTTTTCTTCTAAAAATAAACATGTTTAAATTTTTGACAGATAAAAGCATAAACAAATCTTAATTAAGACTCTCAAAAGATGAACACTGTAAATCTGACTCAAGTTAATAGATTTTTCTCTTTCGTCTCATAGTCATGATGATCCTTTGATGCTTTTCCAAGTTCTGTTACTTAAACTTTGTAATTATTTAGTTTCGTTTCCTAGTTATTTCCATCACATAAACTTAAAGAATATAGATTTCAGTTCTATGTTTCCTAATATATTTGCAAATTCCAACTCATAATCCGGATTAAGAAATTAAAATACTACAATACTTATGTAGTTATGTAGATAACGGGAAAATTTTGTTTCAAGAGAAGTCAAAAGTGTACAACTTATTATTATTTCCATTTTTATTCATTTACCAATTTTCTCGGTTGGTACCGAGATTGACTCCAAGCACAGCTACTAGTTTTGAAATATCAAATACAGAGGAAAATCATTGGTGATTGTGTTTCACAAACAAAATACATTAACTAATGACATTATATCGTCAATTTTCATATCCACTAATCTGAAAATTTTACAAGTCGCTTCAATTTCTATTTTTTTTCTTTAATGTGTAGACCCTTTGTAACTGATGATATTACTTCTGCATTCTATTTGAAGGCAAAATATAATATTAACATGTTCTTATATACAGACTTCTATGATTAGCAAATATACTTTTTAGAGGATTCGCCGTTCTGCTTCAATTTCATTAAGACATTAATTAACTAGATGATTTAATCCTTATCTCTATTAAAGTTCTATGATTATGCTACCGTATTGCAATAATGTTGATGTTACACGTCTCAATCGTTAATGCATTTACACGTACAAACAAAAGTAGTTTATGTGAACTTATTTTCAGTCCAGATAACTATACCTTTTTAATACCAAAAAGTAAAGACTCGTTTTCATATAAGTATTTATTTACGATGAATACTAATTTATCCACTTATAAAATGCTATATAGATGGACAATGAATACAAAAACAGCCATTGTTGAAAAGGCCATAAATGTTTGGATGTACCAAATGCGAGCCTAATAAAACGGTGGTTGGATATCAATTAAGAACCATAGATTAGCCTATCGCTCTTCTGCCTTTATATATACGCACACAAGTTACCAAAGCCCTTGACTCATCTAAAAAAAACACTCTTATAGTTAAGCATGGTGGTTAACCAGAAGATATCCGGATTTGCAGCCGCCATGAACGCCAAAATCATCGGTTCTGGTGAGAGGTCGATGGTCTTGGCACATGGGTTTGGAGGTGACCAGTCGGTTTGGGACAAGATAATACCGGTTGTGTCCCAATCTTTTAAAGTTTTGGTATTTGACTGGCTCTTCTCTGGAGCCATCAAAGACCAAACTCTCTACGACCCTTCAAAGTATAACTCCTTGGACGCCTTCTCTGATGATCTTATTGCTCTTATGGACGAGTTGAAGTTTGGTCCCGTTGTGTTCGTAGGCCATTCCATGTCGGGCATGATCGGTTGTGCTGCTTCTATTAAAAGACCCGACTTGTTTACAAATCTTGTTCTTATCGCTGCTTCTCCCAGGTAAGCTCACTCTTGACTCTTTATATTATACCTTAATTATCATTAAAAGTGAAACAAATGTTTGTAGTTCTATGGATATCCTTTAGGTCAATATATTTGATATAATTTTAAAGAGAGGTAATTATGAAGCGTACTACATATCTCTAAATAAGTGAAGAGAGATAATTAACAAATTTTAAAGGTTATACCATCTCACTAAATGACATCGATCGTACAATATTCCTTATGAATACGTGTTTCATGAAAGAAGACGAAATTTTTTATGCTTTACGATAATATAATTATATTAAATTAGCCGATAATTAATGGATTTTCTGTGGATGGTATCTGCATATAATGAAGTGTAACTGTTGCCAAGTGTTGAACATGTGGTCATAATCAGCTTCTAGCTTGTTGGATGGATATGACATATGATCACATCTTGTCTTATTTCCCTGCAACCTATATATGCATGCTGCATAGTCATGTGTCTATTACATATTCATGAAAAGAAACCAATCAAATATATAAGAGAGTAGATATGCATATCAATATACTACGTACGTGGACCACTTCGCTTTCAAACACTATTCTCCGGTTTTATAGAAAGTTATGATTGTATGGAAATAAATACTTGAATTCCCAAAAAAACGTATAACATTAGTTCAATTTGTGTTTGTCATCTTACGTAAAAACTATGCTGATATCGTTCCAATTTTATCAGACGCCCTAAAAAGACAAATTATCAAATTTTGGCTGATAAGAGTAGACATTTATTATAGTTATAGGTGAGGAAGTCGGCCATAATTTAATGTAACAGTTGAGATTGCTTGACTATATATAAGTCTCAACGCAACGTACTTATATATAAAAGCAAGAACTTAATTACATGATCAAATATAGTAATGTTAATAGATTGAAATGTAAATATATATAGGTATATAAACAGTGAGGATTACAAAGGAGGGTTTGAGTCAAAGGACATTGACTCAATCATCACCAACATTGGCTCTAACTACGAAGCTTGGGCTGTTGCTTTCGCCTCCGTAGTGGTTGACCCAAGAGACTCTCTCTCGATCCAAAGGTTCGAGAAGTGCCTTAAGAAGATGAAGTCCGAGACGGCTCTTGCCTTAGCTAAGATAGTGTTTGGTAGCGACGAGAGAGAGATGTTGGGTCGAGTATCAGTGCCTTGCCACGTCATACAGTCAGGAAACGACGCCGTCGTGCCTATATCCGTTGCTTACTTCATTCAGGAGAAGATCAAAGGGAAATCAACGGTTGAGATCATCGAGGATGCCATTGGGCATTTCCCACAAATGACGTCACATATGGAGCTGCTTGGCGTCATGAGGCGTCTCCTCGAGTTTTAAGGTGTATATAATAAGAGCTTTGCGTCGAACGTTCGATATATTCTTCTTGTCTATATAGTATCGTAAAACTAATGTAATGAAGTGGGACATTAGTATGATTAGTTATATTCATATATATGTTTCTGTAATGTGAATGTGTGATATTTTATTGGTAGCACAAAGTAATTTCCATTATTAGTTGTAAAACAAATATATGTGAAAGTGAATGTGGCTACACTATACAAAAAAAAAAACATGATCGGCTATTACAATAATAATGGTGGGAAAACGGATTTCCTATTTATTTTCTTGTATGATTTGTATATTGTCTTGATCCATTCTTAAAATATTGTCTTGTTATGATTGTATCAACTTCCCCATTTGAACGTTCGTTCCCGTGTATAAATCTTGAAGCTGATTGGAATCATCCTTTATAATTAGCATTAATGCACATTTTCAATAGATATATTAATTACTTCTACGTCCATACGTATAAAATATATGAAACACACAAATACACATATAAGTCATTTAACTGGCATAAATCCATATATCAGATCGTTTTACCGAAATAATTAGTTACTCCTAAATTACTAAGAATCCATCTGTTTCAACTTTGAAGAAAAGAAATGATCATTCTATTAAATTGACTTCTTTTCTGCTTATTAATCTTCCAAATTAAAGACCAACCCTGATGCCCTAATTAGATATCTACACACAACAACATGCACTTTGTGCTTTATTAGCAACCGCTCTTGATACAAATTGAAGACCAACGATGTAGATTGTTCTAATTACTTGTGATAAAATGACCAATGTCAAATGTTGATTAAGTTTTACATAAAGTCAAAAATAATATTAGTCAGTATTCGGCTCTGATTTGGCCCAAATGTGACGATTGAGCCTATTATTATTGGGCCTTAATATTCTAATGCACGAATGAATTTGTTCACGAAAATGACGACTCTGCCTCAATTTTTTTTGCTGCGGTGCCATTTGACCACTTACATGCGAACAAAAAGAAGAATATTCTTATTGCCAAAAGAATAGGAAGTAGAACCAATTTTGAATTCAATCAATAGGAAGTAGAACCAATTTGAGAGAAGAAAAAAACAAAAAAAAAACTTTCGACCAAGCCCATTTTGACAAATTATATAATTGCAATTAGGCCTTTGACTTCTGTTTTTTTTTTCCTTCTTAAATTAAGCATGTGGTGGGTTATTTAAAACTAGATAATTAGACATGATAGGACATGGACCTGATACAATTATAACTATTTGGGACATAAACTTATATTATTACCTAAAGAGCAAAAACATCATCTGGAAATCTGACGGACTCCCATTGGTATATATATAAATGGCGTATTATTAACAACCTTATTTGAATATGATAAACAAAATACTTATTTATTGTCCGTTTTAGTTTTACTGGATTATTTTGGGTGCAACACTGCAACTTGATGTTAGATACTAATAAAAAATTAAGGAGAATTGTCAATGTAATATGTGGCCTTGAATTTGTGCGTGTATACTTCCTTCGTTTTTGGATCAAGAAGAGTTTGTCTGCATATCTTTAGAACCAAAAAAAAAAAAAAATTCGAATTTGAAGAGAGTATAATTTCAATAAAAACGCAACTCAAGTATTCTTTTCCCGCTCTTTAACAAACATTCTCCATTTTCTTATTTAGCTTATAGATTCTTGTCATCGGCGCCAAGGGAGTTGTGGGGAGACATGTCATCGGCGCCGTCTCCGGGTGCTACTCCGTCACCTCCGCCTCCGTCTGCCGCCATTCCTCCTATAACTATCTCCCCTCCTGCTTTCATTCTCTTCCCGCCTCCTCCTCCGCCGCCTGTAACCGCCGTTCCTCCTCCGATTCCCGTGACACCTCTTCCTCCTCCGCCAGTTACCGCCGTTCCTCCTCCAATTCCCGTGACACCTCTTCCTCCGCCGCCAGTTTCCGCCGTTCCTCCTCCGATTCCCGTGATACCTCTTCCTCCGCCGCCAGTTACTGCCATTCCTCCTCCGATTCCCGTGACACCTCTTCCTCCGCCGCCAGTTACCGCCGTTCCTCCTCCAATTCCCGTGACACCTCTTCCTCCGCCGCCAGTTTCCGCCGTTCCTCCTTCAATCCCTGTGACACCTCCTCCTCCGCCGCCAGATACCGCCACTCCTCCAACTCCCTTGACGCCTTCTCCTCCGCCGCCGTCAACTCGTCCACCACCGTCAACTCATTCACCACCGTCTCCCTCCACACCCACTCCGCCTCGGCCGGAAACAGGGAGCCCTCCACCTCCAGCTAATCCCTCAGGCGGGGGATCTCCAAGAACTCCATCTATCACCCCTATCTTTTCTCCACCGCCGCCGTCTTCCTCTTCGGCCGGACTATCATTGGGAGTGGTGGTCGGGATCGCCATAGGAGGAGTCGCTGTACTTGTGGCATTGACTTTGATTTTTTTCTTTTGTAAGAAGAAACGACGAAGAGACGACGAAGCACCTCCTCGTCCCAAAGGTATAACAAACATCTTAATAAGAGTAGACCAAAAAATCAATTCGTGAACTACATTGTTCCTCATTTCTATGATTTATCTACATATTCTTGTTTTTAATTATATTTCATTCTTTAAACATCTTCAAACTTTGCATATTACATAGAGATACAGTTTTAAAGATTACATGATCATCTGTTTCTCAGCTGGAGGCACTTACGGTGGACAGCAGCAACAAAGTGCATCGCAACCGTTAGATCACGCAGTGACGTCACAGCCAACCTCTGCACCGCCACGTCCTCAGGCTTTCTTGAGTGGTAGCAGCAGCGGCCGCGGCTACGACTCAAACTACTCGGATCAATCAGTTCTTCCTCCACCATCTCCAGGGCTTGCATTAGGCCTCTATCAAGGCACTTTCACTTACGAGCAACTAGATAGAGCCACTAATGGATTCTCTGAGGCCAATTGGTTAGGACAAGGCGGGTTCGGATACGTTTACAGAGGGATATTGCGTAATGGAAAAGAAATCGCAGTGAAACAGTTGAAAGCTGGGAGTGCTCAGGGAGAGAGAGAGTTTCAGGCAGAGGTTGGGATCATTAGCCGAGTTCACCACAGGCATTTGGTTGCTCTTGTCGGTTATTGCATCGCTGATGCTCAAAGATTGCTTGTCTATGAGTTTGTTCCTAACAACAATCTTGAGTTTCACCTCCATGGTTAGACCAAAACTAAAACTCTTCTAGGGTTTATTATTGCATGCTTTGTTGTTTTCAATTATTTATGTTTTTTTTTTTTGGGGAATTGAATTTGTGACAGGGAAGGGACGGCATCCAATGGAATGGAGCTCAAGATTGAAGATTGCTGTTGGCTCTGCCAAGGGATTGTCCTATCTTCATGAAAATTGTAAGTCTTAAGATATGAAAAATATGTACAGCTGTTTTAAAAATACAAGATATGTTTGTTTATTAGGCTTGCGTATTCGCAGGCAATCCTAAAATAATACATCGTGATATTAAGGCGGCAAACATATTGATTGATTTCAAATTTGAAGCAAAGGTATGATTTATCTTCTTTTAATTAATTTCATTTTTGTTTTTCATCATAAGACATTGTATTCGTGTTTGAAAAAGAAAAAGAAAAAAAGAGTATTTGTCTGTATAACTTGGCAAGATATGTTGGTGAAGCATACATATTTGTATTTTGTGTCACTGGTTTTGCTCTCTTCTATCTTTTAGGTTGCTGATTTTGGTCTTGCCAAGATTGCTTTGGATACAAACACTCATGTATCTACCCGCGTGATGGGAACCTTTGGGTAAAAATCTTGAAGCTAAATATGTACATTTATAAAACAAAACAATTTGTAGAGTTATGCAGTTTTTGGAAAGTGTATATGCGAATCCTTATCATTCGGTTTTTGATTTTAGGTATTTGGCTCCGGAATACGCTGCAAGCGGAAAGCTCTCAGAAAAATCAGACGTTTTTTTCATTTGGCGTTGTACTTTTGGAACTAATAACCGGACGTCCCCCTTTTGTTGCAAACAATGCATATGCAGATAACAGCTTGGTTGATTGGGTAAATTAATAAAATTACAAATAAGATTATTTATTAGAATTTGACAGTTGAATAAAGCTAAATGTATATGTGAATGATTGGAACAGGCACGACCATTGCTTACACGAGCACTTGAGGAAAACAACTTTGAAGCTTTGGTTGATACAAAGATGAATAATGAGTATGATAGAGAAGAGATGGCTCGAATGGTTGCTTGTGCTGCAGCTTGTGTTCGCCATACAGCTCGCCGCAGACCACGCATGGACCATGTAATTAACTTACTCATTTTTCTCTTTAGGGGGGTGAGCATTTGGTTTTTCGGTATTCAAATATCTATAACTGAGCTAGAACCAAAAGAATGTTAGTTCGGTTCGGTTTTTGGCTTTGAATACAAAGATTTCCGAAAATATATTAGTTTTGACTAAAATTATTTATATTTCATATAATGAATTTTATACTTAGTATATATACAACAACACTAAAATACAACCTTAAAAGGGTTTATTTGGCTCTACTAGTTTGGTTTCCGGTCGTTTTGCTTTATTCCGTCAAAAAACGTTACTATTCCATTTTGGTTTGGCTAGGTGGTTTATGCCAAGCTCTATATTTTGCTGTATAAAAAACTGACTTGGCCGAACAATGGGGCAACGTTTCTTTCCTTAGCTGCACTTTTGTTTTTCTCACTTTGCCAAATATTAATCATTTAAAAAATGTGAATAATGCTAATTGAATGAGTGATTGGTGTTTAAAAAACGAGCAGGTTGCACGTGTGCTAGAAGGAAACATATCACCATCAGATCTGAACCAAGGGATTAGACCAGGTGACAGCAATGTGTATGGCTCATATGGAGGAAACACAGATTATGACACGAGCCAAGACAACGAAGGCATGAACAAGTCTAGGAAAATGGGATTTGGGGCTCAAGACTATAGTGCGAGCAGTGAGTATAGTAATCCTACCAGTGAGTATGATTTGTACTCGACCGGGTGGAGCAGTGAGGGCCAGAATCAGACCATACGAGAAAGAGCCGGCCAAGGTTATGGCGGACACTTACACTCTCACTAAAACTAGGGAGTGGAGAAGTTGCATTCTTTGGATTCTTTTTTTTTTAAACTGTAAAGATTTGAGGCAATCTCTTGATTTTAATTATTTTTTTTTTTAAAAAAAAATATATATAGGGCCGTGCCTACGAAGGAGTTAACGAAACCTTCGCCTACGGCCCTAGCATTTTATGAAACATTTTGAAAGCAAAATATAGAATAGATTGATATTATATGGTATATCTATAAATTCTAAGCTTCTGTTGTTACCATTAATATCCCAAGGTTTATTTTTTAGAATCTAAAGTCAATTAAGCTTTTGAATTTTGTTCTTTGTATTTATGTATTCATACATTTATTTTGCCTTTTTTCATTTTTACCACATTATCTACTATTTTTTTAAAAAATAATTTCACCAACTTCTTATTTTCTGTTATATATTTTATTTAGTTTTTCACTTACCTTTAGTTTACAATTTAACGAATATATTACAGTATAATCTCTATAAACTAAATAACATTAAATCATGAACTTTTACAAAAATATTTAATTTATAGTAATTATTAATTTATAAATATATTATTTAGTTGATAAACTAATTTTAGAACTGATAAAAATATTAATTTATTTAGGTATCAATGAATCAAATACTAATTTATAAAGATTTTACTGTACATACAATTATATACAATGCTATATCTTTCTTAATTTTTACAATGCTATATCTAATGTATTACAATTATATATATACACTAAACATAAAATAATTTAAAATCTCTTTTATAAATAATTTTATTAATATTTTATTTCATAAAATATAGTTATTTTTAAAATAATTATTTAATAAAAATTTTGTTTTTGTTTTTCGCCTACATCATTAAAAACTTTTGGCACAGCTGTATATATATCATGCACTTTTTAGAAGAAAAGAAAATACAAATATTCTTTCATTCTTTTCCTTTTTATATCTTTTATAAGTTTGATCTCTGATTTAGCTTGTTGTTTTTGAAGAACTTGTTCATTTTATTAAGGTGATTAACATAAAATAATTTTAATTTTTGACAATTTGACACGCCCCCCCCCCCCCCCCCCACCCCCCCCCCCCCAATAAAAGAACAAAATAATTGAAAATGATGTTGAAAATAATTATAATTTTCTTTTCTTTTTTTTTTGAAAATGACTTTTTTTTTTTCTCTTACATTTAACTTCAGTATATTTTTGTTTATCTTAGATTAAGCGTGTGGTGGGGTTGTTTTAAAATTTAAACTAGAAATTAGTATGATATGATGTTGATCTGATACAATTCTTGAACTATACGTATGTTGTTCCTCATTTCTATGACTTATCTATACGGTTTCCTGTTTTTTTGTACCCTCTATCTGCTCAGCTGATATATCTTCTTATATGTAAGTTTGTAACTTGGCACGATATGTTTTTGTTTTTTTTTTCTTCTCCTTTCTTGTGTCACTAAAGCTCTCTTCCATCTATTAAGTTGCTGATTTTGGTCTTGTCAAGATTATCCGGATACAGACACGAATGTATCTACACGCGTGATGAAAACCTTTGGGTGAATACAATTTTGACGCCAAATATTTACATTTATGAAATTTGTAATTATACAATTTATAAAAATGTTGATTTTGGGATTTAGAGCAACTCCAACCATAAATCTCTAATCTTGAGTTTTTAAACAATTTTTTATTAATATAATTATAAAAATAAAAATAATTTTTAAAAACAAAAGAATTAAACAAATAATGTATTGACACATCATCATTTTAGATGAAAACCGGGTTCGGAAAATTCTCTAATAAGAGCATTTCTCTTTCTCTCTCTCCTCTTTTTGATTTTTTTTTTAATGTTTAGAGATTCTCTCTAGACACTCCATTAGAGACGGTCTTAGATATTTGGCTCTAGAATACGCTGGAAGTGGAAAATTCACAGAAAAATCTGATGTTTATTCATTTAATATTATACTTTTGGAGCTAATAACCGGATGTCACCCCTATTGATGCCAACAATGTCTATGGAGATAGCAACATTGTTGATTGAGTAATTTTTATAATTGCAAATAAGCCATATATACGGCAACATATTTTATTAATTTTTTAAAATTAAAAATAATATTTTTTTGGTATCGTCAATTTATAATCAAGAAAATTAATTTTTATTAAACTATTGAAAAAGATCATTAGTTTTTCTTTATATATTTTATGTCAGATTTCTTCTATGTTATAATCATTAGAAAATCAATAAAATAAAGTGTGAAAAGAAAAAAATAATATAAACTATAAATTATTAAAAGGTTTAGTTTTTTTTAACACTGATTTATTAATCTATTACAAACTATGAGAATTGTTATATCGACGATTTTACAACGATCAATTTTATCGTCTTATGATGATCCACGACTAACAGCTTTACCTGCACCACGCTTACCATCACAATATGAAGATCTACGTTTAACGATTCTGCTTGCACCATGCTGAAGATCTCTTGTAAGCTTGTTTCCATTAATTTGCATCATTTTTCATTAATCTGCATAATTAAGAATAAATCATATTCTTTGGAATTTGAAACTCAGACTTTCTGGTATAGAAGTATTAATAAACTCTTATTAAATCATTGGACCAAAAAACGGGTTTGGTTAGTGCACAAAACTCTATCTACTATTAATCACTATTGACCTTGTTGATATTGGGCCGAATAAAATATTCCAGACTAGTGGACCATTAGCTGAAAAAGAGTATTTTGATAGTTCGAACATCACTGTCACTGGAATGATGATCACAATTTCGCAACGATGATCAAAAAAACTTTGGGTGTGACTTCTGCTCGCATCTTCTTCTCCAAACACCCATCAACGACCTCTCTTCATCTTCATAGCCTCTGCTTCTCATTCTCTGTCTCCGCAATTCGCTGCTCTGAGCTCTCCGTATCGGATTGCCGGAAATTCTCTATGATGGCCAGTGGAAGCGGCGGCGAGGACTTTGTAAAAGGAAATTTATATCCAAATGGCGTCGCTTTCATCACTCTTGATAGACCTAAAGCTCTCAACGCCATGAATCTAGGTCCGTTTTTTTCCTTCTTTAATGAATTAAACCAAATTCAAATCTTGAAACTTTTGGAGTTTTTATTTTACAGAAATGGATTTGAAGTACCAAAGCTTGCTTGACAAATGGGAATCTGATCCACAAGTCAAATGTGTTGTCATCGAAGGCAGCACTCCTCGAGCCTTTTGTGCAGGTAAAGAAACTGTTTTGTGTGCTGATATGTGGATTCTGGTTTTGTAAGATTGTAGGATAAAACTGTGGAAAGTATATTGCATCTTGTCTTGTTTGATAAGAAAATAAAGATAAGTGATTTAGTCTTGGTTTAAAGTATGATTCTTTGTTCCGTTTGGGAAGGTTTTGGAGTGACCATTCATGAATGGTGCAGGGATGGATATTAAAGGAGTTGTTGCAGATATCCTAATGGACAAAAACAAAACTGCTGTGATAAAGGTTCCTATATGAATCATGTGTCATGGGTCTAGACTACAACATCATTCCTTGCTCTGTGTTCTGTTTTTTTCTTTGTGAGGGAGAGTGGGGTTTCTTAAATTTATTTAAATGAGTCTTCTTTATCTAATCGAAGTGAATAGAAATTATATAACCATGGTCTTCGTTTATCTGCAGGAGGTGATGTGAAGCAGATTACAACCAAAAATCAATTGTCAGATATGATAGAGGTCTGGTTGTAACATTCACTACCTGAATATTACAAAGAAACGCTCGTTTTCTAGTAAACATGCTTAAAGGTCTTAGGAAACTTCTACCTTGGTGATATTAAATGATTTATCTATGTGGTAACACTCTTTAGTCTAGGCTTTTGCAGATTTATTCAATTCTTGCTTGGATCGACCCTTTCTTTGAAGGTGTATGTTTCTTGTTTCTGTTGTCCTAACTTCATAACTTTGATTCCTTTTAGGTATTTACAGCTGAGTATACCCTGATATGCAAGATTGCTGGATACAAAAAGCCATACATTTCTTTGATGGATGGAATAACGATGGGATTTGGACTTGGTCTTTCTGGACATGGGCGCTATCGTGTGATAACAGAGGTGCACATACTGTAGTAAATCCTCACCTCTGCAATTTTGTGAAGATAAACATTTTGAGCATGATTTTTTTTCTTACTGTTTTATTATCCATTTTGTAGAGAACGGTCCTCGCAATGCCAGAAAATGGAATCGGCTTGTTTCCAGATGTTGGGTTTTCATATATAGCAGCTCAAAGCCCTGGCCGAGGATCTGTTGGTATGTTCACATCCTAGCTTCCTAATAGGATCCTTAAACTTTATATTTGGTCAATTCTGGTTCTTTCCCAAAAGTTACAAACTTGTGAAAATGTTATGTTCATTATCTAAGGAAGTTTCTTGCTGTTGGTATGTTCATATCTTAGCTTCATAATAGGATCCTTAAACTGTTTTTTTAGCCAATGCTGGTTCTTTCATGTCTCTAGGCCAACTTATGTTCTTTCTCAAAAGTTAACAAACTTGTGAAAATGTCGATTATTAATATAGTCCCTCGCCAGTTTTGCTTTCAGTCAGATTCATTGTAGGAAGCTTCTTGCTGTTATGTGGATTGTTGACCTGTTCATTGTGTTCAAGGAAGTATGTTTCATATTTGCTGAGAACCTCTCTACAATGTACATATCAACCTCAGCTTTTCGACCTTGAAACTCTGCAGGTGCTTACCTTGGTATGACTGGGAGAAGGATATCCACGCCTTCAGATGCACTGTTTGTGGGTCTCGGGACACATTATGTACCATCAGGGAAGCTAGGTTCACTCAAAGAAGCCCTTTTGTCAGCTCACCTGTAAGCCCCATTGCAAACTTCAATCGATTTCATGTGCATATTTCAAATATAGGAGCATTTGCTATATCTCTGTTTTAAAATTTCAGAAAGTTGGTAACACAGGTCCAATGATCCTCATCAAGACATCCAAGAAACTCTATCAGAATACAGCATCGAACCTGATTCTGAAGCACACCTCAAAATGATTTTGCCTCAAATAGAATCATCTTTTAGTGGAAGCAAGTCTGTTAAAGAAACAATCCAAGAGCTTAAGAAGCACCAGCAGAGCCCTGAGGCTTCAGGTATGGATATGCATTACAGGAAGACTAAACTTTTGTTCCCTTGGATGCTGTTGACATTAATCAAATTGAAATCTCTTGGAAATTTGGACAAAAATGTTTACGCACAGTTGCAGAATGGGCTAATGAAGCACTCCAAGGCCTTGGGAAAGGAGCTCCGTTTTCTCTTTACCTAACACAAAAGTACTTCTCCAAAGTTGCTTGTGGAAAGGGCAAAACCGACAACGAGATGTCAACGGTTGAGTCCAAACTCTTTTGTTTTCCAGTTATATTTACGAGTTTGTGCTTTTGTAATACTTCTTAATTTAATTATTTCCATCTTGGATGAAGCTTAATGGTGTGATGAAAACTGAGTACCGTATTGCTCTAAGATCGGCCTTGCGTGGGGATTTCACTGAAGGTGTTAGAGCAGTCTTGATCGACAAGGACCAGGTTTTTGCTCTCATACGTCAGCTTCATGCCTTCATCTTTCTGCTGTTTAGTGATTCAGTTTGTACTCTCACATGATTTTTGTATGTTTTTTGTTTTTCTTTTTACATTTTCCATCATCTTTTTATTCTTGCAGAACCCGAAATGGAAACCAGAAAGCTTAGATGAGGTAGATGAAAGTGAAGTGGAGGGTCTCTTTGGGCCATTAAGTCCTGTATGTGAAGAGCTTAACGTATGAAAACGGCTCCACTTGGTTGTTCTTACCATTGAAAGAAATAATGTTACATGTTACTGTTATTGATTTTCAACAAATTGATTGCTCGTGTTGCAGTATACATGCCCCCATTTACACATCTGTATCAATATACTTTCAAATTTCAAGTCGTAGTAGATTGAGTAACTTACAACAGAAGCAAACTAAGAGGAATTAACGGACTCTACTTGAAAGCCCTAAAGCCTTTCTCTATCTTATCTTTAGCGTGATGCTCACTCTACTTATATTGTTTATTATTATTGAAACTCTATGCAATAGAATAACAATACTCTGCAATGTTCTAATTTCGTTCGGCACTATACAATTTTTAACACTCTTATTCATGGCTTTTGCTTACTTATTCGATTTTGTATTTACTTGCATCCGTTTCATTTGTTGATATTAAGGACCAGAACTCGTGCGAAATCGTGGGGGAACTATATAAGATTTTCAACTATCAAAACTGAAAAGAGATAAACAGAGTTGAAAAACATAATCACAAAAATGTTTAAGAAGCTTAAATCAATTTTACATGGAAGTGGCAATATATATATATATCTCCATTAATCTGAATAGAGCATAAAGATCACTTTTCTCTTTAAGGTCTTTACATGTCAATAAAGATACGATAGAAAAAAAGAACGATGTCTAAAATGGTTGAAACTCTTTTTAAAATCAATTTTTTTTTCATCTCAATATTACGCCACGAAGAAGAGAAAAACCATGAGAAATGCAATCAGTACGAAGAAAATCTTAATCATCAGCCATCGGTTCGACGATATACTGTTGAGATACCTGGCTAGTTGGCTCTGTGCTCCTTCAACATTCGCCAATGTATCTTCCATGTTCTGATCAATTCTGTCCAAACAAAAACCAAATTTCGAACAAGATATGTTATATTACTTTCCTTTACACGAATGTTCAATGAAACTTCTCAGAGGAAGACGAACCTGATAGCTATCTCCCCTTGCTGAGAAACCATGGTTGCTAGTTGTGTGAAGATATTGCTTAGCTCATGGATTGTTGATTCCACGTTGTGAAGAGCTTCTGCACGGCTCTGCATATACGTGTCTTGCAACGGGACCATCTGTTGCTGCTGCTGTTGTTGTTGTTGACTCTGCTGCAACAATGGTGCAGATTCGGACTCTCCATGTTTCCTGTAAATGAAGAGAATACAACTCAAATCTTAGGATTTTATTAATTCCATAGCAACATTCTTGGACTTACAATTAGATTAAATTCTTACAAAGGTTTCAAGAGAAATTAATACTTTACCTTGAGACTAACTGAGATGAAGAAGAAGAAGAAGCCCCATTTGCCCATGGAAGAGGAGCAGCTTGACTAGGAGCAGGCTTAGAAGCCAAAGGACGCTGGCGAACGAATGGGTTTGTTGATTCTTTTGAAGCGTTTGAAGAGAAAAGTTGCCTTCGATTTTCATGGATCTTCATGTTCTGCAACACCAGACCCAGTAAATCCATAACTTAGTTTAGCATCATAGTACTGAGAATAAGGTAAGAGATGCTTTATTCAAAAAAGAAATGTAAAGGAAACAAAAGAAAGAACCTCGGTTCTCATGGTAAGAACATCCTTAAACTCTTTGGTAGTGTCCATCAGGCGGTTCTTCAGATCGTCGACGACTGTTGCTGAGTGAGTAGTTGTGTCTCTAGAGATGTTCCCTTCATTATTCTGGGAATTACGAACAGCTTGAAGGTCGAGCAGAGCTGTATTCAGAGCAGAGATCTCTTGTTTGATGACCACCGTTAGCTCTTGTATCTCCTGGGTAGGATCATCAAAAACCGATGTCCTCTTCGCCACTGATTTGCAACAAAAATGTCAAGTTCATCAACAGCTTCTTCACATTTCTACCATAACAAAGAAACGTTCCTGAAGTATTGTCCATGCTAAAGGATCCAAAGAAAGTATTTCACACCAAAAAAACAAACCAGTTTTATTTTCACCAACAAGAGAGATCTCTTCGCCTATGAATCTAGCTTTTGCTATCATAGTCCAGGCAAATTCTATCAGCGCTTACATCTTAGATCAGCTTTTTTCGTTTCGAAGAGATCGTTTCAATTCCTAATCAAGCCATTACAGTTTCAACGGAGCAAAACGATTAAGTTATCCAGATTCATAAGATTCAGTGATCAATGAAGGGAACTAATAAACTTACGTTTCGCCAGCTTCGATAGCTTCTGAGACGTCTGGTGAATGGCCAAACCGATATTAGCAGCTCTCCTCTTAAACTCCGACTGGACAATCGCGGCGGATCTCGGATCCTCTCTTCTACCCCCATCGCTCCTACCACCACCACCACCATACGGCACATTATTCGCCGCCGGAGCAATCGATCTCCTCAGAGTCTCGACGATGCTGAAGAACTCGTCAGTCCGATCTCGAAACGACGATTGCCCATGCCTTACCGGCATTTTTTCTTCCTCAATTTCCTTCGAGAAACTTCGGATCTGGTCTCTCTCAGATGCAAAAGCAACCGAAAACCTAAAGATTCAAACGAAAACGATGGAATTTTGCTGATTCGAAACAGGAAACACGCGAACAAGAAATAATCTGCGGATTCAGTGAATCGTGAAGAACCAAAATCAGAGGAATTGAGCTAAAACCGATCAACGCGTCGGCATAGTATTCTCATTTTGTCCAATGCGTTTCTAAGTATTAAATTTTGATCCTCTATTTTTTTATCTTCTTCATAATGGAACCTAAATGTTTTAAATTACAAAATCCTCTAATGTGTTTAATATATGAGGATAGTGAATGTTCTATATTAAAAATTTGCTGAAACAAATATAGTAAAAATTCTATAAATTAATATATATATATATATTGATGAAATGTCAAATTTATTAATAAGAATAGATATAATTATTTACATGTATTATAAATTAGAATAGATTAAGATTTGCATATAAAATAATTTAAAAAGATAGAAAATAAAATCAGACCATTGATAAAAAAATATATTAAAAATATAAAATCGAAATCTAAAAATTATTTATTTTAATTTTCATTTTTTTCAATTAAAATATTTAAAATACATATTTCATTTGTAGTTCAACACTTTATCAACTATTATTTTTGTTTCACTGCATTAAAAATTTGGATATACAATTGGAGTCATTCGATTATGTTAACTCTTTCTCTCCATTAACTCTTTCCAAACAAACAAAAATTATCTTTCTCTCTACATACATCTCTCGTATATGATTTCTTTGCTTTCTTGAGAAGTTATGTTTCCCAAGACTCGTATCAAAAGTTATTTTACATGATTTTTGTTGATTCTCCTCCTCATTGAACTCATCATTAGCATATAAGATTTCAATTTCATGTAATCCTGTTTTGCAAATTTTGCATGTAATGATTTTTGAATTGACTAATTATTGAATACTAGAAACATTTTAGAAGTATGCAATATTCAGCAAACGAATCTTAAAAGATAAAAATTTGGAATATTGAATGAATTGTAATTGATAAAATTTTAAAATACCGTATAAAGTGTTTTATGTTTGTATAGATGTGGACTGTATTTTTTTTTTTTTGAGATTAGTGTTTTAGTCTTTTTCTTTCCAAATTGAAATTTTTTCTTTTATTAACTTTTGTTCCTTTTTTTACAAATTGTATTTTCGTTTTTCTTTTTATTAACTTTTGTTGTTTTTTCCAAATTGTATTTTTTTCTTTTAAGATTAGTATTTTAAGTTATTTTCTTTTTCCAAACTGACATATATCATTTTATTTGTTTTGTTTTATTTTTAATTTAATCACGATACATGTCAAAATCTAATCAATTAACTCGCCACATGTTGCAATCATGTGAATTACTAACTTTGACGTATTCAACTTTATATAATAAAATAATAAATAAATGAAATAAAAAAACTCGGCTTTTCTAAACAACACAAGTGATTAAAAAAACTTTGGTAAAAAGAAAGACACAAGTGATTAAACCATGACCACTTCAAACCATTTGTGGAGAAGATCAGCATGCTTGTAAGTAGAGGTGTCACAACAATTCACCCAACCCAATCCAACCCATGACCCTAATGGGTGAAAGATTAATAGATCATGGGTCAATCAAATCCATTTGGCAGATGGGTTTGGTTTATCCAAAATCTGTCTAATTACATGAGTCAAATGGTTTACTTATAATCTGCTCAATTATATAAATCAAATGGTTTATCCATAATCTGTCTAACTACATAAGTCATTTTTGCTGTCATGCTTCAAGAGACGATCAGTTTCATCAACATTTATGCATCTACTAAACATGATTAAAGCAAAATATCATGATATCCACAAACACAATGTAAAAATTACATAGTTCATCAATCACAAAATAATATAAATGACCATTCAAGTACATACTCACTTTGAAGTTCTTCCATATCAGAGGGAGCCTTACAAAGAGAAATATCGCATGTTGTGAAGCCTAAAAAAAGGATAAACTATCAGAATGTATCCACACACACACACAAAGGGCTTCAAGTGAATGAAACACTCACTTATCACTCATGTTCCTTTTCCATAGAAGTTGGTTCTGCTCGAATAGTAACCATTTCGCCTTCGTCATTGTCATCTACAAATCACAAGTGACAAGAAAACAACGTTAATAGATGCATAAACTAATTTAAAGAAAACTTATTATCAGTTTTATACCTTCATCATCCAATTTATAGCTAAATAATTTGGTCCAAGATCTTCCATGGTTGATGAATTGAATCTGTACTAATAACAAATTAGAAGTCAAATGTGAATTGGCAGATTAAACATATCAATACTCAGTATAATCAAAAACCCATTTCACCGCACCTGTGAAAGCAAGAGCTTTGACAAGAATCTGGTGAGGACTTCCAATCCGAGAGAGAGTGCGGGAGATAGAGATCGAGGGAAAGAAATCGAGATTGAGGGAGAGAAGAAAGATAGAGTTCAAAATTGAGAAAGTGTCCGAGAGAAATCGAGAAAGGGTTCGAGAGAGATCGAGGGAGAAAGATCGAGATTAAGGGAGAGAGATATGGAGATTAAAAAAATTATTGGGTTAAACAGGTTAACCATCTTCCATTAATCCAACATAAATTAAACCATTTCAAACCAACCTAATTAACCCACTAATCCAATTGACCAATCAATCCACTAGTATCAAAAATTTCAATCCAATAGGGTTTATGGATCAAATTGGGTTGGGTCAACCCATGTGGATCCATTTTGACACCCTCACTTGTAAGAAAACCTATAGTTGAGAGATACTATTATGTTTTTGATGGATTTATCGATAGTCTTTGTGAGCTGTTGATGAGTATTCCAACCATTTTGATGTCTACTTGCGTTTTGCTCTCTCCAAATATGATATATCGACGCTTAAAACAGTAGCCTCAAGAGGATCAGTTCATGCACAGGCCGTGAAACACGTGTGAGATAGTCAACAGTGTCCGCCAGTCCGTTGTGTCTCCTGATCCCAAAAGACGACCTCTAAGATTTGTCCAAATCCTGTATGAATAAGAGCAAGTAAAGAAGAGGTGATCCCTTTACTAATTTAGGTCACCACATAGTAAGTAACTCTGCACATTATCCCAATCTAATATAAGCATCAATGCTTATTCAACTGAACCAGTCCAGAGATGGAGCATTGGAGCTAAAATGGATGATGCTTTGCTTGTAGCTGAGGAGAAGGAGAAACTTGTAGCTGACTACAAAGGAGATAAAGCTTCACGATCAAAATGCCATCATTCTATACAACAAGGAGAGCTTGCTGGTCGAGCCAAATCAGAACCGGTTCAGAAACAAAGACCAACCAATGAAGATAAACCACCAGAACTACATAATCACATATATGGATCTACACATGATTATATGAAGCTGTTTATGGAAAGCTCGGATATTCTTCACATCAAGCCATCATATTCTCATGGTACCACGCCCACTGAAGATAACAAGACCTCTAAACCACCTTCGGTTCAGTTTAAGTTGCAAGAGGATCAAGCTAAACCGCTAAAACCACCAAAAAACATGTCTGGACCAACATATGCATCATTGGAGTCAACTATGGAAACTAGGAGCAGCAAGGCATGTTATTCGACCAACATAAAAGATATCAAAGTCTTAAAGCCACTAGATCAAGTCTACATTCATATTATTTCGTCCCAAGTCAAAGGAGAATCAGCCATGAAAGAACTTTTCTTTTGAGAGCATAATATCTTTGCTTCTATGGGAAAGTTAGAGCAACATTCAGATCATCTCAACCCTCCATTTAAATCAAGACATCCTGGATGTTCACACCATCCCAAAGAACCAAAGATTCGTCCCCTCTCTCATTGCCACAAATCAAGCACCTTTCCCCATTATGACAACGGTTAGAAGACCAAATGAAGCCAAACTTAAGCATTCTTATCACACCAAATTTTATGCTAAGTTTTTATTATTTAGTTACCGTTTATTCACTTGTTCTGAACATTATATAAGCTCAAGTATTTGTACTTTCATACTCAGACTTTTATCAATCAAGTAAACCGTTTGTTGTTTTCTAAAGAGAGAGTTATTTTGAAATCATTGTCCCTGCGAGATTTAGAGAGTTGTTTGTGGATTCAAAATTCTTTTAAAAATCGTGTAGAATCATTCTTTCTCTTGTGAGGGTTAGCCCTTGAAAAGCTTGAATCTAACCCTTGTGTTTGGGGTCATCAAATACAACCAGACCAGCAATCATCAAGCCATTCCTTCACCCCCTTTAGCTTGAAGATCAGATTCTAAGAGTGTATTACTTGGAGCATTTCCAGTCTTACATCACAATCCCACATTCTAACCCATGTGGCCAATCGATTTTTAATAGCAAGCCAAGCGATGAAAGCATACCTAGGCACTGCTTGCATTAACCATATGAGATGGTACCATGACACCGAATGTCTCAAAGTTCTGAGCAGCTCCCATGTTTTGGTGGCAGAGAAAGTGTTCTGATAATCATCCATGTCATGTTGCCAAATGATTACATCTTTTACATCTGCTGATGTATTTTGGTCAGTACCTCCTGATACACGGTACCTCAACAGCGGTGAAAAGCCCAACGAGTTCCAACAACTACATTAGAAACTTTGGCCTAATGACATATCCATATATGCCTAATACCATTTTCTCTGTTGATGTCAATCAGTTTGTCAACCTGCAACCAATCATCAAATCAGAAAATGTATTATCTCCGCTATTAACATCAAACTTCAAAAATTGGTATACAACATTTCTGAGCTCAAGAATTGGTACACTATAAATTAATATTTAATAAAATAATAAATTTCATAAATCAATAAATTTCTTTAATTTTAAATTAGACCAGTACAAAATATAATATAAATTTATAAAATAATAATAATATATTTTTTTAAAAAAATATTATGTAAATATACGTCTCATTAATATTATAAAATAATCAACATAAAAAATAAGTTTTTAGATAGATATAAACCAAAATTCATAAAATTCTGTCAAAATTCAATCCATTACTGATTTGAAAATTTGAACATATATTTGACGATAATGAGTCAAAATCATGTTCGGATTTTTCAACAGCGTTCCCTATCCCACTTTCCGCAGGAGTCAATCAATGAAACTAAGTCTCACAAAATCATTATACATGATATTTTTGTGACGAATCGAAATTGTTTCACGTTGGCTATTTTTTCATTTGAGACAGCAAAAGATCATATATTAA